TCTAATTTCTCAACTATATTAAATATCTGAAATAAATCAAAGAAATCAAATAAAAGAAATATATTACAGATATCTCATTTTTCTCAAATTTGTCATTTTTGGAATCATCATTGCATAGACTTATGTGACCATGCAATTTTCCTTTCACAATATTATGTTATTAAATTTTGTGTATTATATAAATCAACAAAGTAACAAAAAAAGTCAAATATAAAATACTCGACTCTTTCTGCTAACTATAGAAGAGATCCTCCTGTAGAGCTGTTTACCGACTAAAGATATGAATTTGGATTGAGATATTTAAGTAGTTCTGTTCTTTTCAGTATAGTAGTTTCTTTAACTGTCTAGATACAAAGTTCCATGGCATTTTGCACAAGCTTAGATCAAGTAAATATTTATTGACAAATCCAACTTCTGCTAGTTACGATGAACTTAAGAAGACAATACTATATATCACTTGCCCTATAATGTCATAACACATCACTCATAAAAAAATGAATCTTATACATAGAACATACTGACTTTTCCAGAATCAGTGAACATCACTAGGCTAACAAATAAAACAAAAATGATAGGATAGGGAATAATGAGCAGAATAAAATAGAAAAAAGCTAAATAAAAAATAAAATAGAATAACATTTTGACTTTTTCGCAATGCATAAACAAAGTACCAAGGTTATATACCAACTAGAAGTAAAACATATTCTTGATTGTATAAGTTCCATGATATCTTTACAACTAGTTCAAGCCATACCAATAGTCACAACAAATCCAGAAATACAACGTTATAATGCTACTTGCCTATATGTTATTTTTTGAAACCGGTCGCTTCTCGAAACACAACTAACTCTTAGAATCAACAGATATCATAGACTCGAGAAAGGAGCTTTCGAGGGATTCTTTTTTTAATCCAAGAAAAAAAAAGGAAAAGATAAGGTCTTTTCAAAGAAGAGATTTTTAACCTCCATTCAACTGTATAATCGACAAACTCAAATTCGTTTTTTCTTGCCTTTAAAAAGGAATATATGTTTTTGATTGTCTCTATTGTTAACCCTGATTTATTTTATTATTAATTCCCTAAAGATGGTTAGATATTATCGCTACTACAATAATTTATGAGATCTTAGTAACCAACCTTCAACAATATCTATTATGGCCATATACTATAAGTCATTGAAGGAATTAAATTTTTTAATGCCATATAAGATACAATGCATTCTTCTATGCTAATGGGTGAAGCTATTTGAATCCTTTGTTAAGAGAAATATAAAGATAAATATAAAATGATAGGTAAAAAACAATTCATATTGAAAAGCAATTTACCTTTAATTGTACTATACTTTTTATCTCCTGTTTTTTCTTCATCCTGGTTTATTTTTCGAATTTTTCTCTTAGCTGAAACAAATTATATGTGTAATAATATTGAAAATCTCACAATATACTTTATATTAATCAATCTTACCTCTTGTGAAATTTTATAACAAGCACTAACCTCTCATTAAATGTTCAATCCTTCTTCGTCAAATATATTATAAATGGTCCTTTTTTTCAGATCCATTAAAGCTATGAGAATTCAATTGTAAGTATGTAAATTTTATTTATTTTTTAAATAGAAAGTTATACTTTGAAAAATTTTTACTTGCCTTCTAAATTACTTGAAATTTAGATTGCATGGCCTTACTATTTTTTAAATTTGTATTTGTTTAGATGTTTTGTAATAACCTTTGGATAATTAATCTCTTTTGTCTTCTTTCTAAAAACATTTTAATAAAAGTAAATTTTGAATCAATTAAAGTCTAGGATTGTGGATTTTTATCCATTTTAATGTAGTTATACATATATCTATTGATAAGATTACTAGAAAAAAAATCTTCCGAGTCCATTGGGTTTGAATATATTCTCGAGTTTTACTTTCAATTGATTCTTGGGTACCTAATTGAGTTTTATGCTAATAATATATATTCAGAAATGATATCACATTGATATATCTCATTACAAATCAAAAAATTGTGAAATTTTGAGGTAAAAACTTTCAAATTATTTCATGTCTCATAACTTAGTATTTAAGCAGGAAGCTAGTTCAGACTCTCTCCACTTATCGATAAAACAATCGTAATTCAATGATTCATATTCAAAATATATACTTAACTTACTTTTTTTAGATCATAGAATATTTCAGCTCTGAATGTATTCATTGCTAGCTTAATTCTTTTTTACGACAATCTGAAATATATTATAACTCGTGTATTAACTAATGAGCAAGAATATACAAAAACAACACTACTTAATAAGCCATTAGAAATAATTCCTAGAGTTGAGTCCTACTCACCACATAAGTGGCCTTGCTATGCAAGAGAAGAATAGTATTACTTTTGCAGAAAAAAGAAGTATGGGAAAAGGAATAGAGTGGTTTATTATATTGTTATACTTGATTTTCGCCTAATGATCTTCATTATCCCTTGTTCAATTTTAGTAGCATTTACTCTTGTAATATTGTCTATTCTAAAATAATCTTGTATTATAGACCTGTTACTGTACTTTTGGCACATATTGCATATATTGCACCTTTACTATTTTTAGAATTTCTGTACTATTGATCTACTGTAGTACTTTCACCTACTTCGCCTACTTAGCCATCTCTGCCTATTTTGGAATATTCTTTAGTTTTACTTATTATTATTACTTTGCTATCTTCACTAGAGTATTCATCTCTACCAATGTTGTTATAGTTGACTATTTTGACAAAGATATCATCTTTTCCATAGTTATTATCTTTACCAAAGTATACTACTATCATATATATAAATCATATATCAATTACTATTGCCTCTTTTACTTGACCTCATATACCTCAGAACCGTACTAATTTTAATACACCCTTATGAACTTTAGTATACCATATTGATTCATCCATACAAAGTGTCTCCCTGCTATTAGTTCTCCGTCCATATCTTTCTCCTGAGATAAGAAGATATATGACAAATTGGTGGTAACTGTAAGATGCATCTCATCCGTTAGATGCAATTCGAAAATCAGGACCCAAAAATGGAACGCTCTTTGATTGCCACCCCTGAGAAATTGCTCCCAAGGAAGTTCGATCTTTACAGGAGCGACGAAAATGACGTTGTGTCTGTGATGATCCAAGAAACAATGATCAATTTTGCCCCAACGATGTTATCTATGAAAACTCGGCTACTGGTATATGCCGAATAGATGAAGAAGCATCGTCCCGACCTAAAAGAAGTCCAAAACCAATGAGAGAAGCTCCAGAATGGCTTGTGCAGAAGAAAAGCGAAGCCTAAAGAATGACAATCACGGGATCGGCAGTATATGCGCCTCCCTCTAAAAAAAAAAAAAAATTAAATTATTATTAAATGAATAAATGATATCATAATAATGGAATTCGCCACTCCTATTCAAAAAAACTATGTGACCTAAGAGAAGCCTTCCAACCGATCTGACATAATGGAGAAACTTGTCTTGTCAAGCGACGACGGCTCTGAGGATACTGTCGAGATGCTGTACGATCGCGAGAAGATCAACGCACTCCTAGCATATAAAGAAGAAACAGCGAATTAGCATTTGTCGTTTTAGATATAAAAAACAAAAGGCAAAATCTGCAGGTGCTACCATAAGGTGATATAACGAATCTGTTCTGCAAAATGGAATTCGTCTCTTACTCGATCAGTGGAAGCCTATGATTGATCAAAGCGAAATCGTGTTCGTACATGCGACGAGTGTTAACAAAAAAAAAAAAAAAAAGAGACGATCCTCGTATTTGATCCTTTTCATTTTCAATGAGACTTACCAGTAAGGAGATTTCAGCGACGAGTAATGGAGACGCCAGAGCGCTGCACGGAAGAGCGAACCTAAAGGCGGCGAGAGGGATGTTGACATGATGGAAGCTGCGAGTCAGAAAAAGATGGTAAGAGGCTTCAGACCAAATAAAAGAATACTGCTATGAAAAAAAGAGGAAAGAGACCACTTACCTCTCAACAAGTCGTCGGTCCCAAAGGTCATGCCGGGATACCAACGATCACGAAGAAATGCCGCGGCACCGAAAGAAGCAAGGGACGAGTTCCTAAAAGGAAGAAAGGACCGTCCAATAAAAAGAAAAGAATGGCGAAAAACCAGAAGGCAAAGAACTAGAACTTACCTGCGAGATTCCGGTAGCACATGCCAGGAACGATGGATATCGCCGAGGGTCAAGGAGAACCCGTGGATGGCGAATCGAACGTGAAGCATGGGGCTAGGGATAGAATGGTAAGAGAGTTAGAGGCCAATGGTAGAACGCCGCAAAAGAAAGAAAACGCAACGTACCTGAAATTTACTAAGACCGACGATTGGAAATGTCAAAATGCCATCCTGATCCTGATCCTGATCACGATCACAAATCATGATCGCAAAGAAAAAGTTTATCATACGAAGTCTGCAAGCGATAAGCATGCCTAGAATATATATGTATGCATATATATTCAGAATGGCAACAAATATCTAACGCTCCGACAAGCCCCCACCACAATAATCAACATCACGACCGACAAGAGATATACCGCCCTGATAATTGGAAATACCGGGACAAGACCGCGAAGAAGGCACCAATGTGGAAAGAAAAAGAAAAAAAAAAGACAAAAATAGTTAGAGAAAGAACTAACCACCCAAAAACAGAACGGTTATAGCAAACGGAACGCTTACCTCAAGAAGATGACAGCCCCGAAGATCAAATGCTGGAATGCTGTCATACGTGATCACGATCATGATCACGATTGCGTGTTTTCCAACAAGAAATCGCAAACGCCGCCACCAATATGAAGAATAACAATCAGAAAGCTGAGCAAAAGAAACGTAAGGTTCCGTACCGTGAATCAACCTTCACAATAAGGCATCTGCCAACTTACATCTACAAAAAAAGAGGAACCTAGTCCCATCAATCGTTCCACCATTAACCAGAAAACGTAACATAGTGATTTTGGAATCACATGTTGAGCACCCCCGATAGAAAAACTAAATTACCAACGCTTGCGACCCAAAAAGGCTACCAAAAGAACATTGCCAGTGAAAAAAAAAAATTCTTAAAAAAAGATCTGAACGTGAAGACCACGTGTTACGAATACACTCAGACAGCATCAAAAGGTTATTAGACGGAAAAAGCAATCTAATACTCAACCTACCTCGAGGAAGCCAGATGGGTACCGTAACGACAATGACTGCCCTGAAGATAAATGCCGTTATAATTGTGATCACGATTATGCTTCCCCAACGATGATAATACCACTACCTACCAACGAAGCCGCATCATCAAGATTCTACAAAAATGAATTAAAACAAATACGAAGTTAATAATTATCTTATTCCTTTTAATTACCCTTACCTTTTTTATAATTCCTTCATTATTCCTTTGATTATCCCCCTATTCTATTAATATTTAGTAACACATATTGTTTTATTTCTTTATTTTTAAGACTTGAGAAAATATTATTGATTGCTTATATAATTTCATAAAGCCATTACATAGCTATAGACAACCTTGATTCTTAGGAATCTATAGCATATGCTGGTTAAAGGCTGGTCAGTCATGAAGCGCAAAACTGTAGCAGGATCATGTTTGAGGCTATAGCATTTTATAAAATTATCAAAGTGATTAATACTATTCTTTCAATTCATTTTATATGAATAATATACTCATTTTTATTTATTCACAAACATTTTTAAATTTTATTAAAACTTTATTATTTTATTATCATTATTACTTTTATATTTTTAATAAGAAACATTGAAATATTGAGATATCCTTTAGCTACTATATAAATTACAGCACCCAGGCTATACGATGTGAACGTAGATACCATGATAGCCCAGTCCTCAACTTGCCCAAACACAAGTATCATTGAACCCTTGAATGGAGAAAGAAATCTGAAAACTAAGACACAAGCAAGAAATATAGTACAATGAAGAGAGCCCACTAAGCTTTTCTCTTTTATTACAGTCGGCCTACAAAGTATACTCAGCAACTACTGTATTTCTTGTAATGAATTTATAAAGCTAGGTTGAACAAAACAAAACATCAAGGTCAAAAAGGCAAACCTCTAATTGAATTCAAAAGTCGAAAAAGACCAATTAAAAGAAGCTGGTACAAGATTTTCTAATAAAACAAAAAAAAAAACATGACAGCAAAATAACCAGCCAGAACCCTAGCTCCAATTATTTGCTACCAGCCAAAAACCTAGCTCCAGTGTGTCATTTTTCTTATTAGTAGCAACCATTTTATCCAAAAATAATTCTTTATTTAAAAACAAAATTCTTATACATTATTATTATTGTTATTATTATTCTTTCTTTCTTGTTTTTCTTGATAACTGAAAGAACGAGGCCCAGGATTTCTTCCAGGATTTAATCGCACCCAGTTTGGATTAAGTTTATATTCATATCCAATAAGCATGTCATCTCTATCATATGGAGGACAATATTGTTTTTCCCAAGGATCACCCATGTGAGCCCAGGAATTTGAGTTAGGACTTGAAGTTCTTCGACAATGAAGAAGTTGCCTTTCTAATTCTTTATTTCTGGATTCAAGTTCAACAATATGACATCGGAGGACACCAATCATATCTGATCGAGTTTGACTTATAGCCAAATGATTGGTGCATTCTTCTTTAAGTATAATTATTTCCTTTAAGACCGTTTCCAACTTTTGTTCCAAGAGAAGATTATTCTGTTTTGACCTGCGCAAACATCTTTGCAAATATTTGACATGTTCTTCCAAGTAGTTGACTGTAATTTCCAATGGATTCTTATTGGAGGAGCAAGTAATAGGATGACTTCTGGGCATAATAACAACAAACCTGAAGCGAGGAAAAAGGGGAAGAAAAATCAGTATCCAATATTAAAAATAAAAGAGTTCAAATATAAGGAAGCAAATTGACAAGTTATCCTTGAATATATGAATCCTCTTTATGACAGATGGGCTCAGTGATCAGCTGGTAGCGAATCAATGCCAAAGCAGAGGAAACAACTTAATAATGAAATACATATATATATTTAATTTATAAAAACAAATTGAGATAACTCATCTAATGAAGAGGAATAATTCAAAAAAATTGGATATCTTGGAAAATTAACATGCAAAAATCTTTGAAAATAATGATTGAACTTGCACTTGGAAAGTTTAGCAAACTCTGAACAAAAATCAATTCTTAAATATTAAATTATTTGAGAAACTGATGGAAACAAAAAGATCTTTTGACTGCCATGAACCTGCAACTTGAAATTCACCTTCACCACTGAATACCATTTAAGGAAAACAAGCATATGAGCAAACTTGAATGGATTGACCTAATATAACTAGAAGAGATAATTATTTAACATGTGAAATCTGGATAAACGACATAAGAAAAACTTGATTGATACCCGATAAAGGAAAAAATCATATGGAAAAACTATAGGAAAAACTTTGTTCAGTATTGGAGGTATTTATAATGACAGACAGTCTGTAATTCGTGAATTCAAAGTCTAACAAAGAGAATAATCAGTAGTGGATACAAAAGTAATATTGAACATATAAGTCTTGAATCGCGTGACAAGTGCAGTAAATCTTGCTAAGCATTGTTAATATTTGAGTATTAGCTATACAATTATAGGAATTGATTATCAGGATAATATTTCAATGAAATTTCCAATTTGAGAATAGTCTGGAAAACTTATTCACATGAATTTATTTTTCCTAATTCAACAATTTGCTCATGGAACTTACAGATTAGTAGGGGAGAATTGTTATACTTGATTTTTCGCTTAATGATTTTCATTATCCCTTGTTCAATTTTAGTAACATTTACCCTTGTAATATTGTCTATTCTAGAATAATCTTGTATTACAGATCTGTTACTACACTTTCGGTATATATTGCACATATTGCACATTTACCATTTCTAGAATATTCCTATTTTATTTCATCTTTACTCTTTATGTTATCTTCGCCAGAGTATTTATCTCTACTATTGCAAGTATAGTTGACTATTCTGACAAAGCTATCACCTCTTCCATAGCTATTATTTTTACCATAGCATATACTTATCCTATACCAAATTATATACTAAAAATATGTATATAAATGCCTCCAATTCCTTCTGGAATTGCAAGGTTGAACTTTCCTCTTTATTAATAAAATAATTTGACCTTTACAAAACAAATCACCATTGCCTCTTTTGCTTGACCTTATATACCTCAGAACTGTACTTATTTTAGTACACCTTTATGAACTTTAGCATACCACATTGGTTCATCCATACAAAATGTCTCCCTGCTATTAGTTTTCTGTTTATATCTTTCTTCTGAGGTAGGAAAATATATAACAGTATAATATAAATTTTAAAGTTTTTATTAAAAATTTTAATATTTTTAATATTTTTATTAGATATTTTAATGTACAACTAAATATATAAGTGCAAGTAATTATTCGATACTCGTAACAACAATTCCTGTATATAATTGATTAATTAATAATATTGAAGATTTTCAAGCTCAACAAAACAAATTAGATGATATAAAAGAAGCAACACAAAAAAACAATTGAAAAACTTAAAGAATATTATATAATGATTGAAAGTTCAGTTTATATGATTGCAACAAGTATATTTAGATATTTAAATATGATTATTTCATAATAATATTTATTAATTTATTATTATTTATTAAAGTTTTTGATCCACATCTTAAACTTATATATTATAAAGATAACGAATGGAAAAAAGAATTTATCGATTTAGTATATAAAAAAATTACTGATATATATAATAATGAATATGCATCCAAACATGAAGAAAATGTTGATTTAGAAAATTATCAAGAAGATAATAAATTTATGATTCATATTTATCGACGAAAAAATATTGAAAAAGAAAATAAATTAAACCAATATTTAAAAACATTAGTTGTTTTAGAAAAAACAGATATTTTGCAATGGTGAAAGGTAAATATTAAATTAAAATTTAATTTAATTATATTATTTACGTATATACTTTATATTAATTTTAATTTATTTTATTTAGTCTAATGAATTTGAATATTCTTATTTATCAATAATGGTTAAAGACTATTTAGTTATTCCTGCTACAAGTGTACCAATTGAACGTATATTTTCTGAAGGTATATATTTAATAACTCCAACATATAGCAAGTTGAATGCTGATAATATTAGAGCATGTATATATTTAAAAGAATGGTGAAAAAATATTTTTAATAATAAAAATTAAATAATTTTCTAATATAAATTTTTTGAATAAGAGATAATAATAATTTTTTTTCATATAGTTGAGTTATATAGGTAAATTGGTTATGATTAAATTTACAAGTTAGTAGTAATATTTTTTTTTTTTTTTTTTTTAACGGGTAGCTTACACCTTGTTTATTGAATATTGTTTTGAGTATATACAAATTTGTAAAATACAAAATTTAAAACTCTATCTATTCTTTAAACTCACTAAAGGTTACCCTTACCATACGACTTATTGTCAAAAGAAATTTATTGATATATCTTTAACTAATTTGCCAAGGCTCTACCAATCCCTATTAAAAGAAATTCTAAAATTATAAAGTGTATTCCAGTTAATTCAGTTATATGTTACATGGTTCATAATTGAATTGATTCCTAGTATATTTGTTTTTTATTGTATTGCTTTTTTCTTGTTGGTTATTCATTTGCATTTATCTTGTTGTGTAATATTGTTTTCTTTTTCCCATTTTATAAATTGTCCATTTTTCTGTATCCAATTCTTTTCCAGACTTTGCAAAATTTTGTTGAGGATACTTTGTGTGGTTTCTTTTTGTATTGTTGAAACTGTGTTTGTCTTGATAATCACAATAATTCTGTTGGTTAATACTTCTCTCATTACACAGTTTAACACTTCTTTTGTCCAGCTCTGTATATGTTTGATAACTTGTTGATATATTTGTGGTCCTATTTTTTCTATTGCTCTGCTTGTTATTTTCTTATTTACTATTTGTTTGATGGTGTTGATTATATTTGTTTGGTTGTTATCGCAAATCATAATGTGTATTAGTTTCTATGGCTTTGTTGCATCTTGAATATATGTTATTAGTATATGTTATAGTGGATCGTATATGTAGTTTGTCTTTGGATGGCAACTCCAAGTTCCATAGTTTTAGATGAAAACTTCTGATGTTGTGATTTTGAATATCTGTGTTTCCTGTTGTGAGTTTTGATGGCTGTCTGAATTTGAGTGTTGGTAGTTATATGATTTGACTAATTGTGTTTTATGTTAGAGTGTTGATATTTCGATTCAACATCCTCCAGTTGATAACATATTTTATTTTAATGATGTTTT